GAGTACGGACCCCAGACACCCTTTTAACTCAATACTGAAGTCACTCCCGAAGTACACCCTTCAGCCAAAGATTAGATAGGTCTATAAAACAAACAATAAGGTACGTGAGGAGCGAGCTTCGTAGTTAAATCACGTATATGAGACTAAATGGGTACAAAGCAAAGACGAGAAGGCAGGAAGGGACGGGAAAACTGGAGGAATGGAACTAGGGACCTCAGGGGAGAGAAGGGGAGAGCATTGACATATTGCAGGGTTGCCAACCAATGTCACAAAACAATTTGTGTATTAATTGTTTAATGAGAAACTAATTTGCTCTGTAAACTTTCACCTAAAGCACAGACACACACACACACACCCCCAAAAAAAAAAAAACAGATTGCCAAGATTGCTGATAATTAGCAAAGATCTTGACTTGGAACCTTTGACTAGTGGAAATGGTAGTCTGGCAGATTCTGAAACTCATAGTAAGAAACCCCATCGCTTTTCATGAAAACTGACCTAGTAGTACTTCTCCTGGTTTTATAATTTTTCATGTTCCCAGCTACTCATAAAGTTATATTATGCTCTGAGGTGATTGGCATTAGGCTGAGGGTTTCTTTGACCAAGTAATTTTGATGTTCCTTTTGGTTTTCATTTTTTTCTTCTACAAGTTAGGGTTTTTCAGCCCATTTAGCAAGCAAATCCGCTAATTTGTTTTCTTTTTATTTTAATGGAGGGAGCATTGGTGGTTCAGTGGTAGAATTCTCCCTTTCCATACCAGGGACCTGGGTTCGATTCCCAGCATGAGGCCAAGCACCTCACGGTCAGCTACCACCTGCCTGTCACTGGAGGCTTGTGTGTTACTGTGATGCTGTACAGGTTTCAGCAGAGCTTCCAGACTAAGATAGACTAGGAAGAAAGGCCTGGTGATCTACTTCTGCAAATCAGTCAGTGAAGACCCTGTGGATCACAGGGGTCTGATCCGCAGCTGATCGTGGAGACGCTGCAGAACCAGGCAGCATTTCGTTTCATTGTATACGGGGTCGCCGTGAGTCAGGGCCAGACCGGATGGCAGCTAGTAACGATAATGTCTTAATGGATGTGATCCGTAAGTGGTCCTGTTTGTCAAAACTGTTGAACAGCTGCCCCTGGAGTTAGCCTAGATGCACAGTTTTTATACCCTGCTCTCAGAAAACACGTGTTGTTATCTCTGAGAACCTCTTCTCTCCCCATATTAGAACTTCCTTTTGGTTTCATTGGCTTAAGGCAGAGGATAAATACGTGAGCCGTTAATCCACTTGAGCAATTGTTCCTTTTAATTATTGCAAAAAAAGAGATGAAATACCTCACAACATGGATGAATCTGGAGGGCATTATGCTAAGTGAAATAAGTCAATCACAAAAAGACAAATACTGTATGAGACCTCTATTATAAAACCTCATGAAAAGGTTTATACACAGAAAAACAATCTTTGATGGTCATAAGGGAGGGGAAGGGGAGGGAGGGGTGAGAAGGGAAAAACACTAACTAGATAATAGGTAAGTAGTAACTTTGGTGAAGGGTAAGACAGTACACAATACTGGGGAAGCCAGCACAGCTTGTACAGGGCAAGGTCATGGAAGCCCCACAGACACACCCAAACTCCCTGAGGGACCGAATTGCTGGGCGGAGGACTCTGGGGACCATGGTCTCGGGGAACATCTAGCTCAACTGGCATAACACAGTTTATAAAGAAAATGTTCTACATTCTACCTTGGTGAGTAGCGTCTGGGGTCTTAAAAGTCTGTGAGCAGCCATCTAAGATATTCCACTGGTCTCACCTCTCCGGGAGCAAGGGAGAGTGAAGAAAACAAGATACAAGGGAAAGATTAGTCCAAAGGCCTGATGGACCACCACTACCAAGGCCTCCACCAGACTGAGTCCAGTACAGCTAGATGGTGCCCGGCAACACCACTGACTCCTCTGACAGGGATCACAACAGAGGGTCCCAGACAGAGCTGGAGGAAAATGTAGAACAAAATTCTAACTCACAAAACAACACCAGACTTACTAGCCTGACAGAGAGTGGAGAAACCCTGAGAGTATGGTCCCGGACACCGTTTTAGCTCAGTACTGAAGTCACTCCTGAGGTTCACCCTTCAGGCAAAGATTAGACAGGCCCGTAAAACAAAACAAGACTAAAGGGGCACACCAGCCCAGAGGCAAGGATGAGAAGGCAGGAAGGCAGGTAGTGGGGAACCCAAGGTCGATAATGGGGGAGTGTTGACATGCCGTGGGGTTGGCAACCAATGTCACAAAACAATATGTGTATTAATTGTTTAATGAGAGACTCATTTGCTCTGTAAATCTTCATCTAAAGCACAATTTAAAAAAAAAAGATGATGTAGAGAGAAAGTTTCATGCTGAAACAGCACGTCTTCCATTAACATCTTGAACAAATGGTTCTCCATGATCTCAGAAAGTCGATTCTGAAAATAAGATTAAAAAGCAGCCCTGCACGTTTGGACCCTTCCTCAGTATAATGCATTTATTGCTCCTCGCCCCAAATCTGCATTCTTCCAGTTCACTGTCACAGGGTTTGGCCAGTTGGTTGGATTTGAGATCTAATTTAGGAAGTAAACCGAGTTCTAAAGAAAGTTGCTTTGTTGAGGGAGGAAGCCCACAGGCCCCCTGTTCCTAATCCCTGTTTGCTGTAAACTGAGAACTGATTATTTTTTTCCTTCTTCCTCAAGAGGTTACTTGTTATTTTCACTAAATGTAAAAACCAGAACCTCGCCTGTTTGGGAACTTGACTCTCACCATGACTAGATTCCATTAGCTGTGGTCACACAGAATGTTTTAATCCTCTGAAATAAATTGCTGGTACGTTTTTATCCTTAAAGAAGAACAACAGGTAGAGATAATATTTGTACAGCAGGCAGAGGGGGGCTGGCATAACGTGTATACCTTTCCCACCTGTCTAAAAGCCTTCTTCAAAACTCTGCGTCTACGCTTTTCTAGTGAAAGATGTTAGGTGGAATATTGTGAGTTTTTTTTTTTTTCCTTCCACAGTACATTTCACAGACTGACTGGGTAAATACAGTAGACTCATAGCATGTGACTGAGTGCTGACTTGGAACACAATTTGTGGGTGCCCTTGCACCCTAAAAGTGAGCACCATACTCTGGGTGGCTTAGTCTTCTAAAACCAAACCCAAACCTGTTGCCATCGAGTCGATTCCGACTCTTACGACCCTATAGGACAGGGTAGAACTGCCCCATAGGGTTTCTAAGGTGTGGCTGGTGGATTTCAACTGCCGACCTTTAGGTTAGCAGCCAAGCTCTTAACCACTGCCCCACCAGGGCTCCAGTCTCCCACTACTGCTGTAACAAAAGATGCCTCAAGTGGGTGGCTTTAAGAAGATAAATTTATTTCCTCACAGTTCTAGAGGCTAAGAGTCTCAATCCAGGACATCGGCAGAGCTAGTGTCTCTCTCTCTCTCTGTGGGCTCTTGGGGAAGATCCTTATATCTCTCAGCCTCTGTAGTCCTGGGCATTTCTTGGCGTTCCTTGGCTACTTGTCAGTATGTCTTTACGTGGTGTCTGTCTTCCCCTGTGAGTGTGTGTCCGTTTCCCTTTTTGGCAAGACACACTGAGAATAGATTGGGATTAGGACCCACCCTACATTGGTAGGAGCTCTGGTGGCACAGTGGTTAAGAGCTCTGACGAGCTACAGCTGCTAACCAAAAGGTTGGTAGCTTGAATCCACCAGCTGCTTCTTGGAAACCCTATGAGGCAGTTCTACTCTGTCCTAACAGGGTCGCTATGAGTCAGAATCAACTCGATGGCAATGGGTTTAGTTTTGTTTTTTTTTTTTCCTTTGAGTTCTACTCTGGTATGGCCTCATCAGCATATCAAAAGAACCCCCTATTTCCAAACGGGATCATACTTACAGGTACTGAGGTTAGGATTTCCACATAACCTTTTGGGGACACAATTCAATTCACAACACTAGGGTTTGGTACCTTCTCCTTACTCACGGCTTGGAGCCTCCTTCGGCTCCGTGGGGGAGCCACGGCCCAGTGCACAGCACGCTGCTCCGTTTCACTCGCTTTGGTGTATGTCCTTTGAACTCAACAGAACAGAATGTTAATGTGAAAAACAGACTGGGATTCCCCATATTGTTTGGATTATTGTGGCTTCAAGTCTTGCTAACAGGAGTAAAAGTATTCCGTTCACTGTATGTGTTTTCTCAGCCAGACTGTGCTCCATAGCAATCCAGATGATAAAATAGTAGCGTTCTGCTTTTTCTTTGTTCCCATTCTCCTGTCCTCACCCTCGTGTGTATCAGCAAAGTTGCTTTAAGCCCATTATAATAATCATTGTAGGAGTCCCTGGGTGGCGCAGCTGGTTAAGCACTCAACTACAAACTGAAAGGTTGGCGGTTCGAACCTACCTGGAGGAGCCTCAGGAAACAGCCTGGTGATCTGCTTCCAAAAGGTCACAGCTTTTGGGACATTGGAAACCCTGTCGGGTGCAGTTCTCTGCACATGTGGGGTTGCCATGAGTTGAAATCAACTCGATGGACACTGATTCGTTGGGTTTTTTTTAGTAGTTGTTGTAGGCATATGTGTTTGTATGTGGGTGGGTTTAAAAAATTATTTGATGCTTTAAAGCACAGAAATAAATCCAGAAAAAAAAAATGTGTTCATTAGGTTTTAGGTTAGACTAAGAATGTTCTGGAATTCGTAAAAGTTGCCAAGGTGCTCAGTCAGAAAATTTTAAACTGATTTCAGGGCACTGGGTAGTAGACAAAGTGTCTGTTCCTTCTTGATTTGAGAAAAGTCTCTTTCTATCTCTGTCTCTCTCTTTTTAATTGCAGAATGTTCAAAGTTTCTTCCAAAAGCACAAAAACCTTGGGGATTACCTCACAGGTGTTAAGAGTCCGGGCGTATTTCACAAGGAGGCTGGCCCTTTTGTCTACTTCCATGCCATTTCCAGACAGGAGTTAATTGGCAAATTTATTTTTCTTATCCCCTCAGGCACCACCAAGTCGGAAGACCGTGCTGCTCTGCTGAAGAAATTCAACGAACCTGGGTCCCAGTACTTCATTTTCTTGCTGAGCACAAGAGCTGGAGGCCTGGGCTTAAATCTTCAGGCGGCCGACACTGTGGTGATCTTCGACAGTGACTGGAACCCCCACCAGGTCTGCATGCCTCTGGCTTAGACAGGCGCCTAGGCCCCCCTCCTGGGGAGGAACTAAAAGATAATTGGTCTCAGCCTTCACCTTTATGCGGCAGGCGGATTTCTAAATGAGGAGGGCATTTCTTCAAAGGGGAGATGTTGCTGTTGTTGTCGGGTGCCGGGTGCCGTCAAATCAATTCTGACTCCTGGCACTCCCATGTCACAGAGTAGAACTGCCCCATAGGATTTTCTTGGCTGGAATCTTTAAGGAACCAAATCACCAGGTCTTTCTCCATCAGAGCTACCACTGCTTTTGAACCTCCAACCTTTCAGTTAGCAGCGGAGAGCTTCACTGTTTGGCGACCAGTGGATTGGTTTGCCTGCTTCCTCTTCTCTCCCGCGAAGTATAGACCTTGAAGTATCTTGCATGTGCCTTTGAAGAGCTCCAACTGCGGGTAGAAAAACTCAGTTTCTGCTGAGTTTTAACCCCATCTCCTGGGATTACCGTTTAGCAAAGTACCTGTGGTGAAGCATAAGTATTAAATGTTTGAGAGTTAACCACAGCTAACGTATATTGGAACGTACTCTGGGCCAGCCACTTTATGGGGATTGTCTCATCCAGATTTGACAACCACCCTGTGAGGTGGTTAATATTACTGCCTGTACCTTTACAGTCAGGGAAACTGACTCCTTAAGTAAGGAGGCCCTGGGTGGCACAAACGGTTAAGCACTCAGCTACTAACCAAAAGGTTGGTGGTTCGAACCCACCCAGAGGTCCCTCAGGAGACAGGCCTGGTAATCTGCTTCTGAAAGGTCACAGCCGTGGAAACCCCATGAAGCACAGTTCTGCTCTGCACACGTGGGGCCACCAGGAGTCAGAATCAACTCAATAGTAACTAACAACAGCGTGGAGTGATTTCCCCAGGAGCAAACAGTTGGTGCAAGACTGTGCCTTTCAGTCTGTGTGTTTTGTTTGAACTCCATCAACAACGAATACTCTGTCGAGCATCTACTGTAAGTTTGTTGATCCGGATGAGCTTAGCGTTATTGTGTCAAAGGAGTACTTTGATGATTTTTTTAAAAAGCCATCAGAGTGGGTGCCCCGTGGCACTGGTTTCCTAACTTGCTCAGGGAGGTGACAGTGTACCTGTGAGATGCTGGATGGAATGATGGGCTCGGGATTCGGTCTGTATTGGAACAAACACAGCCAGATTGGTGTGTAAGAAGGAATGAGAGGGATGGGGTCACGTAAGGATCTGGTGCAACGCGGGACAGATGTTGAACTCAAAACAGCAAAAAAGGAGAGCTGCAGTTGTCACACCTGAGTGTGAGCTCTTCATCGGCGTAACCAGGGATCCACACTGAGTTCCCTCAGCTGTAAAAACTGCAGAGTCCTATTAACCGTCTCACTGGGTAGTTGGGATGATCGAGAGGGAGAAGTTTACACAAGTCTTTGTTGGCAGGAAGTGGGGCACAGGGGGGTGTATTAGAATTATGAGGGAATTTTTAACAATATACACATCTGCCACCCATATTCAGTAGGTCTAGATGCTTCCTGGTGCAGTGGGGGTTCAGTGGTAGGATTTGATTCCCGGACAAGGCACCTCATGTGCAGCCACCGCTCATCTGTCACTGGAGGCTTGTGTGTTGCTAGGATGCTGAACAGGTTTCAGCAGAGCTTCCAGACTAAGACAGACTAGCAAGAAAGGCCTGGCGATCTACTTCCGAAAATCAGCCATTGAAAACCCAGTGGATCACAACAGTCCAAGCCCGTTGTGCGTGGGGTTGCTGTGAGTTGGGGGCCAGCTCAGTGCCTGCTAACAACGACAACAGGCGTGACCGACAAGGCTTAGAGACAGACAGGGTGTGAGGGTGTGTGGACCACAACGGTCGGATCCACCACCGACCATGGGGACGGTGCAGGACCAGGCAGCGTTTCATTCCATCGGGCATGGGGTCGCCATGAGTTGGGGCCGACTGGACGGCAGCTAACAATAGCAACAAGGTGCTTCCCAGACCTCTTAGCCATCTGGACTCTCCCCAGGTGATTCTCACGCAGGGTCCCGAGCACAGGGGAGAAGTGCTGATGGGAAGACTAAACCGGGGCTCCCAAGCCTTTGTGTGCTGCATCCGTGGACTCGGCATGTCCTCACCAACCATGCTCTCCAAGTGAACCGGTTTGAGTAGGATCACTATTGGCGTGTTCTGACTGTGGAACGGGATGGAGCCACCAGCACAGTGAACATTCCTTCCAGGTCTTCAGGAGTTTTTTTTTGATGACTCCCACCTTGCAACCTAAACACCTGGTCCTTGGTTAAGCGCTGTTGTGGGGTGGCAAGTCCAAAGTCTGTAGGTCAGGTAACAGGAAGTGTGAAGAATGAAGGAGTTCTGGCACAATGTCTCATTAGAGTCTAGAGACAGAATATTCCTTAAGGAAAACTCTCTCTTTTGCTCCTAAGGCCTTTACCTTTTTGGATGAGCCCACTCACAGCACAGAGGCTGATCTGTTTACTTTAGGCCAGCTGATTTAGTCACATGTAACTACTTCATAAGGAGCCCTGGTAGCACAACGGTTAAGTGCTCAGCTGTTAACTGGAAGGTTGGTGGTTTGAACCCACCCAGCAGCTCCGTGGACGAAAGACCTGGCAATCTGCTCCCATAAAGATAACAGCCTAGAAAACCCTATGAGGCAGCTCTACTCTGTCACGTGCAGTCATTATGGGTCAACAACAACTACTCCTTCTTGACGGCATCCGGACTAATAGTTCACCAAACAGCTGGACACTAGGGCCTAACCAAGGTGACATATAAAAGAAACTATCACATCAGTGATCTTAAACACACACACAGACAGACACACCCTACTGCCGCCACCACCAAACACAATTAATTGCAGCCAGCCCGCACGGTTCCAGTAAAATATTTCCCTGTCTGTAGATTACCTCGGCCCTCAGATTCTTCACTTTATCTCCTCCTGCTGCCACCTACGTTTTGGTATTTCTGAGGTTTACCAGCAGCTTCTATGAGAGGGGCCAGCCAGCTACCACCCACCACCTGTTTCCATACAACCTGCAAACTAAAAATGGCTTTTCCATTTTTAAATGGAAAAAAAAAAAAAAAAGAACATTAGCTTTCAGGCAAAAACAGCTGCTTGATTTTGCCTCTTTACCACCGGGCACTTTGCAGATAAAGTTTGGCGACCCTGTTTGGGGAGATGAACCAGGGTGAGGGCCAGGACTTTGTCCTTTTGGGTGCTGCCCAGCAGTTCTGATGAAGGTATGTTGAGAGAGATGATTGAACTGAGGGCTTGAAACTGAAGTCCTGGGTCCCCCACCTGTTTGTAAAGAGTCCCCGGGTGGCGCGGATGGTTAAGCACTTGACTACTAGCTGAAAGGTTGGTGGTTCAAACCCACCCAGAGGCGCCTTGGAAGGCAGGCCTGGCGACCTGCTTCTAAAAGGTCACAGCCTTGAGACCCCTGTGGAGCAGTTCTACTCTGCACACGTGGGGTCACCAGGAGTCGGAACTGACTCTCCACAACTAACCACCACCACCTCACTTTCTACTCTTTAGCGAAATAACTTAACTTGGGTGGGTCCCAGCCACACCCATGGTTCCGCCCTCTAGTATTTATATTAACCTACTCAAATATCTTCTAGGCGAAAAACTTTTGCCTAATTAGGCATTTCATTTTAAAGCTCCCTGAAGCAAAAACAAACCTCCTGGGCTGACTTTTGCCTGCTGCCTCCTGGAGCTACACTGGTGACAAGGCAACTTGCTTCCAAGACGGTGGGCCTCCAGCTGCTGAATGTCAGCTCTGTGCAAAATCTGGGGCTAAACCCAGACCGAACCCCCTGCCCTCGACTTGATTCCGACTCATTGGGTTGACAGCTCTACAGGACAGAGTAGACTGCCGCGTAGGGTTCCCAAGGCTGTCATCTTTATGGAAGCGGACTGCCATGTCTTTCCCAGCTGCTTGTGGGTTCAAACCGCCAACCTTTCAGTTGGCTGAGCACTTTAACCACTGCACCACCAGGGCTCCTATTAAATATAGTGCTAGGGTGGGGAATACAAGGGACAGGGCTTTACCCTTAAAATGTATACAGGCTGATGGGGGACACGTGTAAACAGCTAATTAGGATTGGCCCAGACACCATCAGCGTCCCTGGGTGGTGCAACAGTTAACGCACTTGGCTGCTAACCAAAAGGTTGACAGTTCGAGTCCATCCACAGGTGCCTCAGAAGAAAGGCCAGGTGATCTACTTCTGAAAGATCACAGCCATTGAAAACCCTGTGGAGCACAGTTCTGCTCAGACACACATGGGGGCGCCATGAGTTGGAATCCACTCAACGGCGCCTGGGTTTTTTTTTTCTTTTTTTTTCTTTTCAGACACCATCACCTGGCTCAGAATGAAGAGAGATGGCATACCAGAAAGTTTGTTATTATGTAGCTATAAAATTAGGGAATTCTACTTCATAGGTTCATGAAGGTATTTATTTAAAGATTCCGCTAAAACCTTTTTATTACTCAAAGAGTAATATACATTAAAAGCAGAAAAAAATTGGTAAACCACATGTAAGCAAAATGAAGAAAATTAAATAACACTATAACCTTATTAGTAGCGCAGTTGTAAAGCGCTTGGATGCTAACCAGAAAGTTGGCGGCTCGAACCCACCAGCTGTTCAGCGGGAGAAGGATGTGTCAGTCTGCTTCCATAAAAGATTACAGCCTTGGAAACCCTATGGGGCTGTTCTGCTCTGTTCAGATATGTTCGTATCTGGAGATATAAACATTGTTTGGGTGCCGATGTATGTCCTTCCTGCCTTTTTTTTTTTTGTATCAATAACTATGCATATGTAGTATCATAATGTACATAACTGTTACCCACTGCCGTCCAGTCGATTCCGACTCATAGTGACCCTATAGGACAGAGTAGAACTGCCCCCATAGGGTTTCCAAGGCTGTAATCTTTACGGAAGCAGACCGCCACATCTTTCTCCCACAGAGCGGCTAGTGGGTTCGAACCACAGACCTTTTCTTTAGCAGCTGAGCACTTAACCACTGTGCCACCAGGGTTCCTGACAATGTACACAGTCATTTATAAATTGTAGTTTTCACTTATTATATATTTGTGTCATTAAGAATTCTGCAGTATAATTTTTGTGGTAATATATTGGGACGTACATACTTTGCTAGGTTAATTTTACGTACAATAGAATGCTGTAATTTATGTAACCAATCTATTATTGTTGACTGTTCAGTTACTTCTGCTTTTTTATCATTATAAACAATATGTAATGCTGAGAGGTACATCCTTATTCTTAAATCTTTGTGCATATCCATTCTGTTTTCCTTTAGATAAATCGCCCAAAGTAACATTTCTGAGTTAGGGGCCAGAACCTACTGTAAAGCTTTTGATATGCATACTGCCAAATTCACATCCCCAAAAGCTCACCAATTTATGGCCGCACTAGCAATCCTTTTCATTTTTCCCAGACTAACGACTGGGTCTTTGATGGGATTGCTGTTGTTGGGAGCCGTCGAGTCGATCGATTCCTACTCAAAGTGACTCCATGGGATGGAGTAGAACTACCCTGTAGGGTTTCCTAGGCTGTAGTCCTTGGAAACCCCATGGGGCAGTTCTGCTCTGTCATATAGGGTTGCTATGAGTCACAGTCAACTCAACGGCAACAGGGTTTTTTTGTTTTGTTTTGTTTTTATCTTTTTGGGAGCAGATCACCAGGTCTTTCTTCTGAGGAGTGGCTGGTGGGTTCGAACCATCAACCTTTAGGTTGGTAGCCGACTGCTTAATCGTTGCACCACCAGGGCTCCTTTTAGTGGGGTTGGATCCCAGGAAATTTGCTAACAGAGCAATCACTGTATGTATAATGTATGTATGTATAATTCAGTGATTATTTTAAAAATCATCTTGAACTCATCACCCTAAAGGAAAAGCATTTCTTGCAACTTTTTGTGAACACTTAAGTCATAACTGATGTAAAATGTTTTGGGTTTTCTTAGATACTAATTCCGGTGGTAAACCCAGGGACTGATGGAAACATCTGGAGACCTGCATTCCAACACCTGAGCTGTATTTCAATTGGCTTGTGTCTTAGGCTGGGTTCTCTAGAGAAGCAAAACCAGTGCAGCATATTAATATAGACAGAGATTTATATCAAGGAAATGGCTCATGCAGTTATAGAGGCTGGGAAGTCCCAAGTTCGTGGGTCAGACTGGAGGCTTCTCCTGACTCACATAGCCAAAGGTGCTGGCGAATCCATGATTGGAATGTCAGATAGGAGACCTCTGGCTCATAGGCTGTGGAGGCCACGAATCCCAAGATCGGCAGGTAAGCTGCTAGCTCAAGTCCCGAGAACTGGAGGTCAGATGAACAGGAGCCAGCTGCAGGATCCAGAGTGAGCAGAGGCCCACAAGCCTTGCAGGAAGGTCCACCCACCTATATTGGATGCAGGCCACACCCCTAAGGAAACTCCCTTTAACTGATTGGCTACTCACAACAGATCTCATCATGGAGGTGGTCACGTTATATCAGATCTTATTATGGACGTGACTGCGTCATTAAAAAGCTGCCAGACTACAGGATAACTGCCAAACCACTGAGGATCGTGGCCCAGCCGGGTTGACACCTAACTTTAACCATCACAGCTTGCCTAATTTGAAGCCGGATCTCCTTAACTAGGAATGAACTTGACTCTTTCCAAAGAAGGTGGCTTGTGTATTTTTAAGATGTAAGCAGTAGCTCACATCAGCAAAGGTGGATTAAATTGGTTTGGTTGTCAGTTGCCATCGAGTTGGCTCCGACTCATAACGACCGTATGTACAACTGAATGAAATGTTGCTGTGTCCTGAACCACCTTCATGATGGTTGGTGTGTTTGAGACCATTGTGGCTACACGCCAGTCTGTCTCACTGAAGGTTTCCCTCATTTCTGCTGACCCTCTCCTTTACCGAGGTCCCTGGGTGGCACAAATGGTTAGCTGTTGGCTACTAACTGAAAGGTTAGCAGTTTAAACCCACCCAGCAGCACCACAGAAGAAAGACCTGGCAATCTAATTCCATACAGATTACAGCCAGGAAGATTCTACAGAGACTAGTTCTACTCTGTGACACGTGGGGTCTCCATGAGTCGAAACCGACTCAATGGCAATAGGTTTTGTTTTTTGGGGTTTTTTTTTTTGCTACTTTACCAAACAGGATGTCCTTGTCTTGCGGTTGGTCCTTCCTGATGATGTGTCCAAAGTAAGCCCGTTGAAGTCTCACCCTGCTCGCTTGTAAGGAGCATTCTGGTTGTTTTTCCTGTAAGACTGACTTGTCCGTTCTCCTGGCAGTCCACGGTGGATTAAATAACCTTCCCGTGTTTCCCTCCTGGGCAAGGTGTGTCCAGGCCCACTGACCCTCACAGCGTCTTGTTCTCTCCACAGGATCTGCAGGCGCAGGACCGGGCTCACCGCATCGGCCAGCAGAACGAGGTGCGCGTTCTGAGGCTGTGCACGGTGAACAGCGTGGAGGAGAAAATTCTCGCCGCTGCCAAGTACAAGCTGAATGTGGACCAGAAGGTCATCCAGGCGGGCATGTTTGACCAGAAGTCTTCGAGCCACGAGCGGCGGGCGTTCCTGCAGGCCATCTTGGAGCATGAAGAGGAAAACGAGGTATAGAGAGAGCCAGGGTTATGAAACCCGGTAGTGACCTCTTGCCTCTGAAGGGTTAACAGTAACCTCTTCGTTCCTTAAAGAGCTTCCTGGGCTGGGGGTAGTTAATATGAATATATTAGTTGTCATCTTCTCTTAAAGCACATAATGCCTCTGATAGTTAGGCAAAACGGGGTCTTAAGAGCTTGGCTGGTGGAGGCTTCCCTTGCTTATGCTGCCTCCTGTAGGGCAGAAGGAGAACTGCAGAAAGGCCACCCCCAGGGACAAAATCAGAGACAAAGCCGGAAGGGGTCCCTCCGCGCCTTTTCTTTCTTCCGTTCTCTAGGCCCCTCCATCACTCTTTTGGCTTTTGATCAGGGACCACAGCACTTAAACACGTACATAGCTGGGTGGTGCAAGAGGTTAACATGCTCGGCTGCTAACCAGAGGTGCCTCAGAAGAAAGGCCTGGCAATCTCTGCCGAAAAATAAGCCATTGGAAACCCTATGGAACACAGTTCTGCTCCGACACACATGGGGTTTCCGTGAGTCAGAGGTGACTCGACAGCAGCTGGTTTTTTTTTTATAGGCAGCCATCCATCACCGCAGCTGAGCGCCATGAAGTGCTAGGGCACAAAGTACTCAGGAAGATTCACTGAGCACCCCCCAGCCATTTGGTTCTGCACGCAGGCAGGCTGCTGCAGGCAGGCTTCACACCAGCTTGCCAGGAAATCTTTCCATCTCGGGCATAGGGAAGCCCAAGCCTCCCACCGTACGGAGGATGAGAGGATGTCAGACGTGGCTCTAGGGACAGGGTGGGCAAAGCAAGACTTCTGTTCACCAGAGAATCAGTTAACCAGATACTTTGTACTGTGAAGTCTTAGGTCCTTCCTAGCTTGTTTGTATCTTTGTCAAATGCAATTTGATGTTTAGACAAATTGACTTTGGTCATTCTGGAAGTGAACTAGAATAGAATTTTTTTCAAAAGGATTTATGACCTTGCCTCTGGACTTTGCTGGATTGCATTCATTTCTACCCTCATTAAATTCCTACAGGGTGTAAGACATAATCTTGGGGACCAGCATAGTCATCTCACTGAAGCTTCTAGTACAGTCACACTCTTTCTAAAACAAGTTAACTTATTTTGAACATATGATTTGTGGAATTGGACGGATGAATTTCTGTGTTTTCCCTCTGCTGATACACTGAAATTCTGCATTTGATTTTCAACAAGATCAGTCAGCATATGATAAAAATAATTTTGGAAGATGAGTCCCATGCCTATGCTCAACTTTTTTGAGTTGTCTTTTTAAAAGCATGTAAATCATAGCATAACATTTCTGCAAAGTATGAAGGGAAACGTGAAAACTGTTGGTTTTTAAGGAATTAGCACAAAAACATGCCTCTGTCCAACATAATATAAAATTTATATTTTTAGTCCATATATAATTGTTTTCTCTACTTCATTTAAATTATTTTAATAAAGTATAGTTTTGTGGGATTTTTGTTACTGATAACGTTTTAAGTTGTCCCATCCACAGCTCTAACCATTTGCAATAAAGCCTCTAGAAAGACAGTCATTAACATACCCTAAAGGCCATATGGAGTCCCTGGTGGTACAAACAATTAAGGTACTCACTGATAACCGAAAGGTTAGAGGCTCGAGTCCACCCAGAGGCACCTTGGAAGAAAGGCCTGGCAATCTACTTCAGAAAAATCAGCCATTGAAAACCCTCTGGAACACAGTTCTACTCCAACACACACAGGGTCTCCATGAGTTGGAGTCTACTAGATGGCAGCCGGCAAAAGCTATATATTTGCCACATATACATGATTCTTACAGTCTCGCTCTGCGCTTAGTCATGAAGGTTCATATGCTCAGGTTTTATCATAAGGCTTTGAAAATAAGCATTTATATTTGGGGTAAATTAATGGAATCAGCAGAAATTAATGTTAGGCACTTTTTCCTGTAAAACCCATTGCTGTCAGGTCGATTCCGACTCATAGCGACCCTACAGGACAGAGTAGAACTGCCCCGTAGGGTTTCCAAGGCTGTAATCTTTATGGGAGCAGACTGCCGCATCTTTCTCCTGCGGAGCGGCTGGTGGGTTTGAACTGCCAGCCTTTTAGTTAGCAGCCAAACACTTAACCACTGCACCTGCTTATTTAAATCTTACATCTTCCCTATGAAGTAGATTGCATGCCCACTTTGCAGACAAGGTCATTGAAGCGTGGAGTTGTTAAGTAACTTGTTTCAAAAGTAAAGGACCCGAGATACACCCGGGAGAAGCAGAGTTGCTGGCAGCGCACCATGTCTCCCCCAGGAGCTGATTAGCCCTGGAAGATGGTTTGAACAGCTTACAAGATGGTCGTGGCGAGCGTTAGACCCAGGGCCCTTTTCTTTTCTTTCTGGCTTGAGCAGTGGGACACCTGTGACCTGGAGGACAGAGTCACCTTACTTGTTGGTGTCTTGCCCAGTTGTCCAGCCTGTTTTCTAACGCCCGTGAAATCATTCTGTCCCTGACCCCAGGAAGAAGACGAGGTCCCGGATGATGAGACCCTGAACCAGATGATTGCTCGGCGGGAAGAAGAATTCGATCTTTTCATGGTAATGCTGCAGAAAATGGCGACCGCAGATACATGCCTTTTCCCCTCCGCCCCCTCTTCTATTAACGCAAGATGTTTGCAGCCGGCGTGCCCTGGCAGAACTTCATTTCTGAAGCCGGGGCCCTTTTTCCAGCTCAGAGGCCGCAGATGAGCTGGATTTAGCCTGCAGACATATTTTGTTTGGCCCACGTGGTATTGCTTTTTTTAAAAAATTTTGAATTAGTTGCCAACAGAAAAAGAATCTGGCTCCTCTTGACAAATGGGATCGGGAAGTACCAGCCCCTCATGTCTGGGTGGAAATGATTGGTGGAGCTGAGCCCCAGATAGGGTACAGGCCACCACTCCCGGGTCATGTCTAATCCCAGCCAGCGTCACTTGGGAAAGCTGCCTGGCTCCTGTAGGCATTTGCATTTACTGTTCTGCCCTAGTCGTCCCTTTACTGTGTCACAACAGAGAGGCTCCCTATTGGGGGGTGGGGAGGCCCTGGGTGGCGCAAATGGTTAATGCGCTCAGCTACTAACCAAAAGGTTGGATGTTTGAGTCCACCCAGAGGCACTTTGGAAGAAAGGCCTGCAATCTACTTCTAAAAATTCAGGCATTGAAAACCTTATGGAGCCCAGTTCTACTCTTACATACATGGGGTCGCCATGAGTCGGAGTCAACTGGATGGCAGCTGGGCTTTTTTTGGGGGGTGGGGGTCGGGGGAGGGAGTATGGGGGAAGATTCCTGAGTTTCATAAAGGGTACATCCTCGACTGCGAACCAAAAGGTTGGCAGTTCAAACCCCCCCAGTGGCACCACGGAAGAAAGGCCTGGTAATCTGCTTCCGTAGATTATAGCCAAAAATCTGCTTACCGTAAAGATTACTGTACGGCAACAGGTTTGGGTTGTTTTTTTTTTTTTAATGGGGGGGAGGTAACAACAACAACGTAAACACAGCTGTGCTCTTCTGATTGTTGAAGAAAGCCTGCTTAAGCAAATAGAGAGCTTTGAGGTTTGTGTAGAGGTGTTGCTGCAGCTGAGTGCCATGGAATTGGTTCCGAGTCATAGTGACCCTATATGACAGGGTAGAACTGTCACATAGGGTTTCCTAGGCTAATCTTCACAGGAGCAGATCGCCAGGTCTTTCCTCCCTCGAAGCGGCTGGTGGGTTTGAACCGCCAACCTTTTGGTTAGCAGCCAAGCACTTAACCATCGTGCCACCAGGGCTCCTTCTGTATAAAGTTGTAGCCTTCATTTAAAGATCAAAACTGGTTGGATTTCGCCAGTACAGAGTAGGTGTAAAAGAACCTTGGCATTTGAGGATTTAATGACCGTGGTTTCGTGGCCATCTGCAGTGTTGCTGGGACCGGGGTTTGGTTTATGTGTGCTGCCTGGCTGCCACAGAGCCGGTGTGTACCTGGAGCAGGCACCTTAGCTAGGCAGGGAGGCCGGGCCACAGCTCTCAGGGCAACACTGACTGCTTTACACAGGCATTCACCGTGGCTGCTTAGTTCACGGCTATACCCCCCCCGCCCCCCCAGTGCTCAGGGCGGGTCCTGGCACATAGTAGTTGCTTAATAAATATTTATTGGCTGAATGGTGACATATGCAAATTCCAGGCTTCATGGAATGTCGGGATGGATCAGGATCGGGATGTATAAAGTTGAGAGCCTCCCTCCAGTACCTCTAATCATTGTAATTTTCATAACATCTTGCCTGATTGTGGAGCAAGTAAGCGTCAACTGTAAATCTGGTGGTTAAATGCTACAGAAGCCCAAAATAACTCCACAACCAAACCCACTGCCATTGAATCGATTCTGACTCACAGCGACCCTATAGGACAGAGTAGAACTACCCCATAGGGTTTCCAAGGCTGTAAATCTTTACGGAAGCAGACTGCCACATCCTTCTCCCCTGGAACAGCTGGTAGGTTTGAACTGCTGACCTTTCGGTTAGCAGCTGAGCACTTTAAGCACTGTGCCACCAGGGCTCCTTACCCCAAAATAAAGGGTCGCAAATTTGAAATCACTTAGATCCTTAGATTTCAACCAGGGTCCCCGGGTTGGCACAAACGGTTTGAGCGTGACTACGAACCTAAAAGTTGTCAGTTCAAATCCACCCAGCGGTGCCGCAGAAGAAAAGGTCTGGCCATCTGCTCCCATTGAGATTACAGCCAAAAACACTCTATGGAGCAGTTCTGCCCTGCACATGAGGGGTCATCATGAGTCAGAATCGACTTGATGGCAGCTAACAACAAGACCTCAAACAAGTAGTACAGAGTAGGTGTAAGAGAACCTTGGCTTTTGAAGATTTCACGGCTGTGGTTTCCACCTTGACGCTTACATGGGGAGGCCGTGGACAGGCGTGGGTGGACAGTGGTGGCGTGGGGATGCTTTGTCCAAGGGAGACAGAGCTGCGAGGGGGACTGCCAGACCTGTGTAGCCAGAAATTCCAATTTTTCAAGAGAAGCTGGAAATCGAGGCTTTTATACGCAGTCTCTGGGTTTCTAAATGTTTGCAACTGAATTCAATTTTTTTATGATTATGTAACACTGCAGGCCAAACAGAACACTAGTGCAGGCCAGATATGACCCACAGGTTTGTGGTCACTGCCATTTAGCCTAGACAGGCTGTGAGAATGGAGCTCCAGCTGGGCGAAGGCTTCCGGGACTTTTACGATTTTGTCTCGGGAACACTGCGTCCACACAGAATGATTCCAGATAAAAGGTACTTAAATCTTTCTCAGGAAGCTTGTAGGTAACCACAGGGATAACTCCTAACCTAGGATGTGTACTTTCCCCCCTAAACGAACTCCTCCAGTAGGTCCCTGGGTGGTGCAAATGGTTAAGCGCTTGACTGCTAACCAAAAGGTTGGTGGTTCGAATCCAGCCAGTGGTACCGCAGAAGAAAGGCCTGATGACCTGTTTCGGTAAAGATCACAGCCTAGAAAACCCCGTGGAGCACAGTTCTACTCTGTAACACATGGGGTCGCCATGGTTTGGAATTGACTCAACGGTGACGGGTTTCGCTAAATGAACCGCTGTACCCAGGTAAAGCCATTTTGGAGAGTAAGGCAGGGGAAAGAAGAAGAAAGCGTGGTCAATGGAGGATGTTCATAAACCCCAGTTTTTTAATTGATACTGGTTGGTCACTCCGTTTATAGATTATTTGCTTTTTAGGGAAGTTAGGAATACACCTAGGAAGCAGACACACTCTCTGTCCGTGAAGAATACTTGTTAAAATGTACATTACTGGGAATGCCAAAGCAAGAGGCCCTCAGCTTCCCAGGCTGCTCATCACTGATTGGCAATAATTCAGCACCTTCATCCCCTCAGAGCCTCTCGAGACCCTGGAGAGGATAAGCCGCCTGCCTTTTCACAAATTAGATTAGTCCCAGAGCTGAAGAATTTCACTTCAACCCCTAAGTAAGGGAAAGCAAGTACTTTTCCCTTTGCATTGTCAGGCTGGGTATTTGTAGGAATTGAAAGCATCAGAAAAAATGACATGTCTGGCCAAAGCACAGTCTTCTTTTACCTTGGGGATGACCATTCCAGGTGAAGACGGTAGGCTTATGACAGGTGAGGCTGGTTAGGAAATGCCTTTCTGTAGGCGCTTTGATTTTGTGAATTTCCTGCTTGTTTACTAAAGGCTGACTTCTAGTTTGTTTTCGTTTCGTTTTTATGGATTTTTATCTCAGTTTGGTTTGCTTTTGTATTTTTAAATCTCCTCCCTGTAATCTACGGGCTGCCTTTGGTCAATGCACCATTCATCAGCACCTCCACCAGAGGGCAGGGAGAAAACCTGAGTCCTCGCCGGCTACGCTGATAAAACGTTTAGTGAGGAACAAGAATGGAATGTGAACCGATTCTTTGGATTTCAAATATTTCTATCTTTATCCATGATTATTAAAAAAAAATAGGTCTTATCTAAAATTAATACAAACTTGGTATTTGATTTGATTCTGTGTTGTAGACGCTGCAGTTAAACAACACACAGCAGGTCAACAGTCCCTTTAAAATAAAACCTTTCTTTTAAAAATGTTTTCTTGCTTTCTCCTTCCAAAAGTGTGACTTTGGAAAAAGCTGTCTTCCATACTGATTGCTATGAATTTATTTACCTGAAACTGTCTTCAACTGCTCAAGATGTGTATCTGAAACATTTTGCCAACATACAAACATTAAGCTTTTAAATGATGCGTCTTCTCTACAAGGTTAAGTGGTACTTTTAAAAATCATTTTTCTTGTTAGTATGAGGTTTATAATCAGGCCTCAAAGCAAACATACTCATGTAGTAACTAGTAAATAAATCTGACTTTTTCTTAACTTGAACATCAACTTAGGATTTTGTACTGGTAGTCTTCAGGGAGAAATTTCTAGGGAGAGGAGCAGTCATTAGCCTTTTAAACTTATTAAATCGCGCAGTCCCTGGGTGGTGCAGGTGACTGACGCACTCAGCTGTTAACTGAAAGTTAGAGGTTCGAGTCTACCCAGAGGTGCCCCAGAAGAAAGGTCTGGCGATCCACTCTGGAAAAAATCAGCCATTGAAAACCCTCTGGAACACAGTTGTACTTTGACACACACATGGGGTTGACATGAGTTGGAATCGACCCAATGGCAACTGGTTTGGTTTGCTATTTGTCTTGGTTATCTAGTGCTGCTATCATGGAAATACCACAAGTGGGTGGCTTTAACGAGCAGAAATTTATATTCTTACAGTTCAGGAGGCTAGAAGTCCAAATTCAGGGCGCCGGCTCTAGGGGAAGGCTTTCTGTCTCTGTTGGCTCTGGGGGAAGGTCTTTGTTCCTTGGTAATCTTCATGTGGTATGGCATCTCTTCCCCCATCTCTGCTTGCTTGGTTCTTGCTTCTCCATCAGCTCCTTTTGTATCTCAGAAGAGATTGACCCAAGACTTGTCCTACACCAGTGCTGCCTCATCAGCGTAACAAAGAAAACCCAAATGGGATATCACCACAGTTAGAGGGGTTACGATTTACAGCGCGTATTTTTGGTGGACACAGTTCAATCTGTAACAATATTAAATTGCATCTTCCTAAAAGAAAAAGGAAGAAAAAAAAACAAAAAGCAAATGCATTATTTGCTTTTACATCAGAAAAGATTTGTTTTCTCGACAGTGGGCAGACGTGGGATATAAGTCATCTTGCAGGTCCAGGCATGGGTGATACTTGTCCTATAACCAAAAATGGAAGGAGCACTATTGTGTCTCTTAGCTCAGGGCACATTAAAGCATTTCTGTTTTCCTGCTAGCTATCTAATAAGTATTAGGAGGTTCTCTCAGGAAGCCCCTCTTTAGACTCTGCTAGAAACAAGGTCTCTTCTTGGTGCTGAGGAGCCCGGGTGGCGCAGTGGTTAAAGCCCTCAGCTGCTAACTGAAAGGTCAGCGGTTGGAACCCACCAGCTGATCTGCAGGAGAAAGATGTGGCAGTCTGCTTCCGTAAAGATCACAGCCTTGGAAACCCTCTGGGGCCGTACTAATCTGTCCTACAGGGTCGCTATGAGTTGGAATCCACTCAAAGGTGACAGGTTTGGTTTTTGGTTTTCTCAGCGCTAGTCCCAAAGGTTCAGTGGCCCGTTTCTGATACCAGTGCATTAGAAGGCAGGTTAGGAACATCCTCCTGAGCTAACTATATAGCACATGACAGAGCAGGACGCCACATTCATCTGCCAAGGGGACGCCACCTCACCCCACGCCTGCCCTGTCCAGGGAACAGCATGATTTCCAAAAATGTTTGAGCATAGTTTAAGACTTTAATTCTTTAATTTCTTACTAAGTTTTAGAGGTCAAATTTGGGATTGAGTAGTAGATATTTCATCTACATTTTGTTATCATTTTATCCTTTAGGAAAATATTATATCTAATCCCTGCTTCAATACAGCAGAACCGAAGGAAGAGGGAAAAAGTAATGATTTCATAGATAATGGTCTGTTGGATTGTAGAGATGGTAGCTCCAACTAGTGATATATCTCATGTATGTAGAAATTCAGTGGAGGTTTTATTCCCTCATTTTCAGCTGTCGGATTGTATAGATATAGATTAAGGCCAAGTGTGTGGTACTTAGTTTATTTATAAGTGAAATGGATTTTAGAAAGGGCGGGAGTTGGGGAAAGAGGCATTTTAGGAATATTCCTAATACGAAGGCTGTGGAAAGAAGCCGTTTCACATACATCTTAACCAGCTGAGATGAGATTACCTGTGAGCTGTCTCCCTCTCTCTGTCTTTTATCTAGTGCTTCTGTAACACAAAGACCACAAGTGGATGGCTTTAACAAAGAGCAATTTATTCTCTCACATCTTAGGAGGCTAGAAATCTGAATTCAGGCCACCAGCTCCAGGGGAAGCCTTTCTCTCTCTGTCGGCACTGGGGGAAGGTCTTGTCATCAACGGTCCCCTGATCTAAGATCTTCTCAGTGCAGGGACTGCAGGTCCAAAGGACGTGCTCTTCTCTGGGGTCTTTTTTCTTGGTGGTAGGAGGTCCCTGTCTCTCTGCTGCTTCCCTCTCCTTTTGTCTCTTGTAGGATAAAAGGTGATGCAGGCCACACCCCGGGGAGACTCCCCTGACTTTGGATCAGGGCTGTGATCTGAGTAAGGGTGTTGCATCCCACCCTAATCCTCTTTAACATAACCTAATCTTGCCTTGTGGTGCAGTGGTTAAGCATTCGGCTGCTAACCAAAAAGTCGGCAGTCCGAATCCACCAGCCGTTCTTGGAAACCCTATGGGGCAGTTCTGCTCTGTCCTATAGGGTCGCTATGAGTCCGAATCGACTGGAAGGCAACAGGTTACAGGTTAATTTTGCCTCTTTAACCACAGGCAGAGATTAGGATTTACAACACAGAGGAAAATTACATCAGATCTCAAGAGGGAGGACAGCCACACAATACTGGGAATCATGGCCTAGCCAAGGTGATACACATTTTTGGGAAGTCGGGGGACACAATGCAGTCCATAACAGTGTGGCTTAATATTTTCATAAGAGTCAAACTATAAAGGGTAAAGAATCGAGGGACCTTCCTCGTGCAGTGGCTGGGTGCACTGAAAAATCGGTCCTTTGATGGCCCACCGACTCACAAAACCATTTCAGTGCCCACACGCCCAACTATTCTGTAGAGACAGGCAGGTTACTAATTTTTGTTGTCCTGATTGTTTGTTTAAAAGCATGAGTCTATTGATTAAAAAGGAAATTTTGTAAATGAACATTCTGATTTATGTGCCTAAAGAATCCCTTTATTCCAAGGAAATGAAGGATTATCTGACATGTGCTTGTGTTTTTCACAGCACATGCCCAATTTAAATTTTCTCTCACTAATTCTTAAGGAGGAGCTCTGGTGGCACAGTGGTTAAGCACTCAGCTGCTAACCAAAAGGTCTGCAGTTGGAACCCACCCAGTGGCTCTGTGGGAGACGAGCCTGGCAGTCTGCTCCCATAAAGATTACAGCCTAGGAAACCCCATGAGGCAGTTGTACTCTGTCACACGGGGTCGACGTGAGTCAGAATTGAGTTGTCGACAATGGGTTTTTATGAGTAATTCTTAAGGAGTAGCTGTGTGCACATGGAGATGAAGAAAAGGGATTCTTAAAAAGAGTATTTTTAAATGAATAAGTAAATTTCAAAAGACAGGCACAGAGGAAGGGATTTTGCCTGGCAGAGTCTTCCTCCCAGACGTCGTGCTTTAGAGATGAGCTAGAACGAGTCAAGCAGGAGAGAGGGGCTCTATGGAGACTATATTGTCCCTGGGTGGTGCTCAACTGCTAACCAAAAGGTTGGCGGTTCAAACCCACCCAGAGGTGACTCGCAAGAAAGGCCTGGCAGTCTGTTTCTGAAAAATCAGCTATTGGAAACCCTGTGGGGCCCGGTTCTCCTCTGACACCCATGGGGTCACCATGGGTCGGAATCCACTGGATGGCAGCTGGGTGGTTGGTTGGTTGGTTGATGGAGAACATGAAAGGGTCCCTGCAGCCATTGTGAGGTGACTCGTGAGTTGTATGTGCTGGCAGGGCTACACTCGTACCGAGTCTGCCTTTCCCTCTGGTGACACCTTTGTTACTGTCCCCAGCGTATGGACATGGACCGGCGCCGGGAGGATGCTCGGAACCCGAAGCGCAAACCTCGCTTAATGGAGGAAGACGAGCTGCCCTCCTGGATCATTAAAGATGACGCCGAGGTGGAGAGGCTGACGTGTGAAGAAGAGGAAGAGAAGATATTTGGCAGGGGGTCTCGCCAGCGCCGCGATGTGGACTACAGTGACGCCCTCACGGAGAAGCAGTGGCTAAGGGTAAGTGCGACTCTCCTGGCTGCTCTTTCTCGAAGCTGTGTTTTGTGGGTACGGAGAAAGCAGATGGCACGGGCGTCGTTTGAGGGGGGCCGAGCGGCCGATCCAAGGGGAGGTTTGGGAAATGAAGTCATTCTGTTGGGGTGGTGGGGTCATTCTATGCTTCAGGGCAATGCTAGAAGAAGTATAATGGAGCGTTTTTTTTTTATTTTCTTCTGCTGGAGCAGAATCGGCCATTGGAAGCACAGCTTTACTAGAGCCGTGAGACCCACTAATGTTTTATGACTAATTGCCTGGTCATGCCTTGCCCTCTCAAGCTTAGAACCAAAATGTGGAAGGGGGCCTTAGAGATTTTTTTAATTATTCCCCCTCATTTCATGGTCTTTAATTGGGGCCTTTACTTTTCCAAGGCCCGCAGGTAGTTCGGGGACAGTGGTAGACTCTAGCCGCATGATTTCTGAGATCCGCAGAACATTAGAGCTGCAAGGTGACCTTGTCTTCAGCTGGTTTTCCAGACAGACATTGAGGCCCAGGGAGGTTAAGTGACCACACAGGACCACACACAAACCAAACCAGTTGCGTCGAGTCGATTCTGACTCATGGCGACCCCATGGCGACCACGTGTGCAGGGGAGAACTGCTCCATAGGGTTTTCAAGGCTGTGACCTTTCAGACACAGATCGTCAGGCCTGTCTTCCAAGATGCCTCTGGGTGGGTTTGAACCTCCAACCTTTTGGTTATTAGTTTAGTGCTTAACCATCTGCACCACCCATAACAACCTAAACTACTTGCCATCGAGTCAGTTCTGACTCATGGCAACCCCATGTGTTGCAGAGTGGAGCTGTGCTCCTTAGGGTTTTCAGTGGTTGGGTTTTTTGGAAGTAGATCGCCAGGACTTTCCTCCCAGGTGTCTCTGGGTAGACTCGAACCTCCAGCCTCTCGGTTAGCAGCTGAGCGCTTAACCATTTGCACCACCGTGGGACTCACTATGCTGACTAGAAATAACAGAATCCAGGAGTGCCCATGCGTCTGTGTGCCCCCTTCCAGCCTGATCTGATCTGTCCATTGCCAGTGCAGACTAGCCTCGGCCTCGAGTCACTGATGCTAGCAAAGGTGGTCCTGTAATGCTTTCCCTTTGGGAAGTGTTGATTTTGGATTTTGACAGGGGGCTGTAATCTCAGAATGCCCCTTGGGGAGCACAGCCGTGTCCGAGTGCTCACAGAAGCACTGGTGTGAACGTCAAAGCCAGCATAGCGTTTTCCTTTGAAGTGTTAGCTCTACTTTCTGTTACCGGGAGCAGACTGGGTACCTACGCAGGCAGAACCGCCCTGGCCACGCACTCCAGACAGGGTCCAGATAGCCGTGCTGGAAATAGCGGGTGCAATTGGGTGAAAACCAAACAAAATAGAGGCTGTTACTGTGAGTTGTTCATTTTATCAAAAGGGAATACAATTCTCATGCTGCGTAAGGCGAGCATTGTAGGACCCAGGCTGTCAGTGGGTAGGTGGGTAGAAAGAGGCAGTGGGAAGTATTTGAGATTGAACAGCAAAGGAAGACTGGGCTTGGCACCACTTGAGATGTGATTTTCCCAGGATGGTGTGTGATGAGAGCGACGTGACTTGAATTCCAAAAAGATGGAAGCCTGCAGTGTTCAGAAGAGAGAGAGGCTGACAAAAGTGTCATTCATCTTTATGATGAACAGTTGTGTTTAGAAAGTAACTTTTGTGCAATTGTGTGACCCTGGTATCCAGTCAAATAACGTCCGTGGCCTCAGAATGCGGTTTTATGGATTTCCTTTGTTTCGCTCTTGTGACGTGGGAGTTGCATCAGGAAGATCCGTTTTATAATGTGAAGATTTCTGTTTGTTTACTATTCATTTCCGAGCTCAGGGAAAATTCTATTCCATTTCTTTTTTATTTAAGCAGCAAATTAAGTACTAGGAGTCTTATTACGGGCGATGAGACAGTGATCGAGGTTACAGATCTCCTATCTCCAGAGATTACACACAAAATAATCCTGCTTATTGGACAGGAATGTAGCTGAATTTGTCCTCTTTTATAACCATTGGAAAACGCTCTTAAGGAAAGTAATATTATGAATCTTAGGACATTTTCAAGTTTAAGGTACCTCATTGTTTTCTCTTTTTCATTCAGTTTATATCTCTAATGATTAGCACAGGACCTTGCATGGAATGGAAACTCAGTGAAAATAAAGTATAATGTATAAGTGGAAAGTTACTGATTTGCCAGTAACGTTAGGGGCACGTTTCCATCTTTACTGTATCTAGAAGATTTCCTTTTATCTATATAACATACATAAGGAGCCCTGGTGGCACAGTGGTTAGGTGCTCTCCTGCTAACCGAGAGGTCAGCGGTTCAATCCCACCCAGCGGCTCTGTGGGAGAAAGACCTGGCAGTCTGCTTCCATAAAGATTACAGCCTTGGAAACCCTGTGGGGCGGTTCTACTCTGTCCTATAGGGTCGCTATGAGTCAGAATCGACTCGCTGGCACACAACAAGAACATAACATACAGAACAAACATAGTAGGAAACTAATTTGCTTTACAAAACGATACCGCGAAAATTGACGTTTGTAATTTTAACTGTGAGGTGCCTTGCAGGAAGATTGTAACTCATCCCAGAAGATGAGCCTGTTTTCAGCCCAGCTGTAGTTGTGATATGTCCTTTTGTAATCCAATCTTCGGAAAATGGTATGCCCATATTTGGCATGAACTAGTAGCTTGCTGTTAACCGGGGCATGCAATTAACCCAGAATGCCCCGTGGCCTACGCATTAAAAATAAATGTTTACTGTCCAGTGTTTTTCTTGTTCACCAGCAGCAATCCTGCCTAATATAAGTCTGTTAAACTCTCTGGATAGTAAAAAGATATTCAAGGGCATCTCACAGGCCGGAGTGTGAAGTGGTGTTCCCTGTGTGCTTATGGTTAAACAAGCTGAGCAAAGCAGCCCTCACGGCCTTGAAAGGGAGTTTGGCAGGGACCGGCGCGTAAGAAATGCTGCAGCGGGCCTCACAGAATTCCTCTTTTCTGTGGCGGTGTTGTACGAGACCCACTTGGCAGGGCCTCCAGATGCATGGAATCCTGAGTTGGAAGGTAGCCGATGGAGCCGCTCCCATCCGTGCTTAAGTCACGTTGCTGTGGCACAGTGATTAAGAGCTTGGCTGCTAACCAAAAGGTCGGCAGTTCGAATCCACCAGCCGCTCCTTGGAAACGCTATGGGGCAGTTCTACTCTGTCCTATAGGGTCGCTATGAGTCAAAGTTGACTCGACGGCAACAGGTGTTTTTTTGTTTTCTGACAGCACCCATGCCAAGAGGCTGCCCCTCCCTAAAAGGAGGCATACCCCCTGTTTGTCTGCTTGGTCCCTCCTCTAGAGTGGGGTCAGCCCTGCCCATTAGCTCCTCCTCCTCTTTCCCTGGAGGTGCTCCTCACCAGCCTCTGTTCCATTTTCTGGGGTGGGTTGCATGATATTTTTTCTGTCTTTAGCATCACAGCCCCCTGGATGAAATACTGGAGGATTGATGTTCACTCTGGAACAAACTTCCCCAACCCATCTTTTTCCTTTAAAGTTTTCTCATCCTTCAAGGCCCTACTCCATTGTCACCTCCTCTTTGATGCCTTGCCGCATCAGTACTAATTGCATGTTCCACCCGTCTTAGCTACCTAATGCTGCTGTGACACAGATACCACAAAGTGGGTGGATTTGAAAAACAGAAACTTATTTTCTCACAGTTCTGGAGGCTGAGTCCACCTCAGCAGGGTCCTGGTGGTGTCATTTCCTTCGTTGTCAATAAACCCATTGCCCTCCAGTTGATCCCAACTCATAGGGACACTAGAGTCCTTGCTCATAGCCCTGGGTATTTCTTGGCTCCTTGGTGTTCCTTGGCTTGTAGACAATCCTCACATAGCAACTGTCTTCCCGTGTGTGTGTGTCTGTCTGTCTGGTCTTTTTATGACCCATAAGTGAGGGTGATTAGGTTTAGGTCCCAGCCTACACTGGTATGACCTCAACCTGTTGATCGGTTATGTTACATTAGATTGCATTATGGAAAGTGATTATATCATATCATATCACATTGAATTATGAAAGGTAATCTGCTCCACCCAAGGTCAACTGATCTAATCCCATGTAACTACTCCATGACAGCAACTAGACTCATGTTTGGCCGAACCACTGGGAACCATAGCCTAGCCAGGATGACACATAAAATTCACCGTCAAACCACTGCACTGTCACCTTTCTTTGATATTCCTCTGTTACAACTCAAATCAAATTTCCTAGTATTATTGGTAGTTGACAGCACGCCTGGTTTCTTGACTGGTTGGTAAGCTGGATCTACATCTTGTTAGAGCTTAGGACTTCTGTTTTCAAATAGTAAGTGCCCGTGGATTGCCAAATTGAAATAGCACTGGACTGATTAGTAAGAAAGGAGCCCTGGTGGCGCAGTGGTTAAGCACTCAGCTGCTAACTGAAGGGTCTGCAGTTTGAACCCACCAGCTGTTCCGTGGGAGAAAGAGGTAGCAGTCTGCTTCCGTAAAGATTACAGTCTTGGAAATCCTATGGAGCAGTTCTACACTGTCCTGTAGGGTCGCTATGAGAGAGAATCGACTTGATGGCAACCAGTTTGGTTTGTTTTGGGATGTGTAAGTGTATGGACCAAGGTAATGCTCACTGCTGCAGCAGATGAACTTGTTGTTGTTGTTAGGTGCCGTCGAGTCGATTCCGACGCATAGCGACCCTATAGGGCAGAATAGAACTGCCCCATAGGGCTTCCAAGACTGTAATCTTTACAGAAGCAGATTGCCCCATCTTTCTCCCATGGAATAGCTAGTGGGTTCGAACCACTGACCTTCTGGTTAGCAACCGAGCATTTAACCACTGTACCACCAGAGCTCCTTATATTAGTTACTGTGAAATAAAATATTTCATTCCTCAGTTGCACTAGCCACATTTCAAGTGCCCAGTAGCCACATGTGGCTAGAGAC